AAGGACTATAACTTTGAAGTAATTAGAGACCATTCTCTGTATTGTTCATTGATCTGTATGAATATGATGAACATTGCTGTAGAATTCATTCAAATATACATGCATCAAATTTTATAATTTTCGATAATCATTAAAATATTTTTTATTTTTCGTTGTAAAATATTAGATACAAAACCAAGTGAAATGCTTGATTTTTCAGTTAATTTCATGTTTCGATGAGCTATTATCACTATTGTTATTATTAGTTGATTGAATTTTTTCGTTTAATATAAGATGGTGTTGTGATATCATTGCTTTCCCTGATATGTACAGTTATATTAAACAGTGAACAGTAGTTTTAGTGCATTAGCTTGAAATGGTGCAGAGAAGAGAAAGAAAAAAGTACAGATGTGTTCATATAAAAGAGGTTAAAATAGCAATCAGGACTGTAAAAATACTGTTCAAGTTCAGAGTAGAGAAGTATTCACTAAACGAGATTACACTCAGTGTTCTACAGCCGGATCGAGTGCTGAGCATGAAAAAGAAATATCGATTTGATTTCTGGATATGATCTCTTATTCGGACTCGACCCGACAATTAATAAGATCTTAACGTTGCAAAATATTTTTACTCTTTCAAACTGGTAATTTCTATAAAAGCATAGGAGTGATAACCGGTTCGACCATGACTGTGCCATTTATTGTCACCAGAATGAACAGCGATATTGTTCTACTAAAAGAATTTGTTTTTTTTATGAAAATTCATTTATAGATGGTGATGAACCATATGATGAAATAACCGAAGAGATGGAGAGAAAATTAAATTATCAAAAAAGATGAACATGTGTTATTGTGACAGAAAAAGCATTCACGTGTGTATTCGTAATTATGACGTTCGGTACCAACACTGCGTTGCATTCGAGCGTCATTAGCAACAAGCAAACTCATACTTAGCGAAATCGACCAGATTTTACAAGAAGAAAGACAACAGGTGAATCTTGGATCACTTGTTTTGAGATTATTTCTTGTGTTTGTTACTATTTATTGAAGAAAATAAATAGTATACTTTATCATATGAAATAAAATTTTGAAAATCGTACTATGACTGTGAAAGTATTTGCCGGATGTCGATTAACTCCGGTCACGAAAGATCGTATGCATGCAGGACAATAGTTTCATCGTATCTGATTTCCCCAATGTAAATTTAAGACTTTTATTTCTGTTGTTTATTTCTGTTCGATTATTAAAGATTTTAAATTTCATATAAAATCTTTTTTGTTTTGTTTTCAGGATACTTCTCAAACAAAAGTCTTCGCACCAAAACGATCTCGTACGAGAACAACACCACGACAACGTAATACAAAAATTAATTCAACAGCGAATAATAGTTTACATACAAATCAAAATGGTCATACATTAACAAGTAAAGATGGAAATATTTCAACATTACCTATTGAAGAAAAATTAATTCGTCCATCAATATCAGCTAATCTATTAAATAATAAAACAAATTTACAATTATCACGTCATCCACCATTAGAAACACTTTCATATGAATTAAATTATTGTTTACAAGATAAACATGAACTTGTTCCATCATCACAATGTTTACTAGGTTGTATTATTTATATCGATGAACATGAATATATTTCACTTGTCTCAAAAGATGATTTATCAACATGGTCAAAAACAATAACAGATCATGGTGCTATAGTAACAGATGATATTAATCATGTTAATTTAACACATTTTGTATGTGCTTATCGTACAAGTGAACGTTTTCGACAAGTATGTAAACGTGGAAATGTTCGAATGGTTACAGCACATTGGCTTAGTGATGTATTACAACGAAAAAAAATTTTTGTTCCTAATTTGGCTATTCATTATCCATCCCCATTCGAACCGAATGAACCCGAAAAATTACCATTAGCAAAATATTTTTTTACAATGACTGGTTTTGAAGGTAAAAATAAGTTATAGAAGAATTTAAACTTTGAAAACCATAAACAAAAAAACGTCTTTTAATCTTGAAAGTAATAAATTTCTCACCGCAATAATGATCTATGTAAAACATATATTGTTAATATATTTTCGAAATGAAAAAAACAAAGAACAAATCTTGAATGCTTATCAGAAATAGGATAGTTCCACGATTTTTTCATCACATGAGGATTATAAATGCTTTCAAATGTGCACTTATACATGACTTAGCATATATAAATGTTTAAAGTTAGTCGAATCAGTAAAAGTTATTTTCAAAATATAAATAGTTAACGAATAGAGCACAAGCTATGAATTAATTTTATTTTTGATATGGCGTTATAATGCAACGATGTAAAGACTTGATCTTTTTATTAGAAAGAGCAAAATGTCTAATACAAAAATGTATAAAAGAATTTGATCGGAAATGTTCTCTGAAGGTTATAAAATTCTTGGAGCAAAAGGTATCAGGAAATCTTTCTCAACTTTTTTTTGAATGTAAAAAAAACTTCAACCAACATATGTTTTCTTTTTATTTATCTTTTCCAAAGTTCATAACGTAAGGATAGAGGGTTATTACTGTACCAAAAACCAGGTATATTCTATGCGTATCATTGATTTTTTCTTAAATAGTGGTTGCAATCAAATAACTAAATTCTATTTTGAAATACAAAGTACAGTATTTTAACCAGGTTTTCCCTTCCGAAGAAGCGATTTAAGACTCCGAGAGGACGAACGCTTGTTTTTCAGAAGCACAGACATATAGTACATTGATAGAATAACACAAACTTCGGGAGGATCAACTTGATTTTCGGAGGATTGCTGCTCCCACACTGGATAAAACACTGAAGAGAAAGCTAATTGAATCTTTTACAAAATGATATTATTTTGAATAGGATACAGTTTTCCAGTGAAATATTCTAAGAAAAAATTATTTACGTTCAGTGTCTTGCACGTTAGATCAATTATATTTGATATCAAACGAAAGCTAACATTGTAAGGAATGTTTATATATCTCTGATTCTAAAAACCACAGAAAATCGCTAATGAATATCTATGTCGCACGCTTGCTCCCATTACCAATTATATATCGCTATACTCATAAGAAGTGGCAGTAGTGCCATAAATTATACGAGAAGAAAACAGGTTCAGAATATATTTTACTATTAAAAGTTCTTGCAGCGCCATCTATAATAAAAATTTTGTCTGATAACTGAAGCCAATTTGAGCTCTGTGGCTAGTATAGGTACATGAGAGTGTACTAAAAACGACTCAATTCTGTCAGTCTTAACAGACTTGAAGAATATTCACCCGTTTCTATACAATACTTTCGAAAAAAACCATCAGTATAGCGCACATTATACAGATTAGTATGCCGGCGGTAGTTATCACATAGATACAAAAATGATGACTAAAATTGTGGAAGAGTTGTGTGACCTTGAGAAAAAATTTCTGAACAAATTCTTCTATAAATTTTTCTCTTTCTAACAAAAAAAACGAAGAATCAAGTCTCTGTAATATTGCATTGTAACACTATATCAAAAACAACAATAATGCAAAACTTTTTCTCTTTCCATTATTTATCGTTAGACAACTAAAAATTTTAAAATCGTTTATTTATGTGTCCATATTTCATTAGTTTCTTTTTTTGTGTAGGAATTGAACGTGCTCGTCTTCGGTATATGATACGTTCATTAGGTGGTAAATATTCTGGTCATTTAAGTAAATGGCATACACATTTATTAGCACGTGAAAATGGTAAAACAAATAAATTTAAAAAAGCTTTTGAATGGTCAATACCAATTGTGAATGGTTTATGGTTATCAGAATTATATTTAGGTAATACATGTGCTCTTAAACAACCATTAGAAGAACGTTATAAACGTTTAAATGGTACACCACCAATAGATCATTTTTCATTTGATCAAATTTTTGTTCATGATTTACTTTTACCATGGTCACAACCTGTTCGTATAACTGATGAAATGCTTAATTTAGCTATACGTCGTCATAATGAACAACAACATTTATTATTAAATACTCAAGATATGGATATAGATAGTAATTCTATTAAAAATTCATATCATTATAATGAACCTATTAATTCAACAATTCAATTAACAACAAATAACAATAATAATAATAATAATAATAATAATAATAATAATAATGAAACAATATTAATAATGCTTAGTGGTTTTAATATGAAAACATTAAATTATTATGAAACAATAATTAAATCTTTAGGTGGTAAAATATCTACATTACCACATAATACGACACATTTAATAATGAATAGATTTTTACGTACAGAGAAATTATATGAATGTATGAATTATGTAACATATATCTTAAATAAAAATTGGTTAGATAAATCTTATGAAGAAAAATGTTTTGTATCAATAGAAGAATCAGATTGGATACTTGATCAAGAGTATAAATCAATACAAAATTTATTTAAACAATCAATTAATAAACGTATTTATCGTCAAAATCGACCTTTATTTATAGGTTATACATTTTTTTTAACACCAAGTATACAACCATCACAAATAATAATTAAATCAATTATTTATTCATCTGGTGGACATATACGTCGAGAATTTCCAACAATAAAGCATTTAACAACATATCATGAACAAACTAAAATACCAAATTGTTTAATTCTATCATGTGATAAAGATATATTATTATTAAAAGATTTACATAAATATAATAATACAGATTTTCAAATTAAAATTTTATCAATTGATTTTCTTCTTCAAAGTATTTTACAACAAGAAATACTTAATTTTGATTCATTTATTCTTAAAATATAATTTTTACTGTATCATGTATAGAATAGTGGAAACCATTCGATTTTTCTTGTCTTCTAGTTTTTTTTTCTTGTGATATAATCACGTATTATACGTCTGATGTTTGTGTTCTATATGAATGTTTGTTGTGTATGTATATGTATACATATATATATATATATATATACATAAAAAAAGGATAAGACTTCGTTGTATGTTTGTTTAACAAAAGAATTTGTCTTTTCAGATGTTTGGCTTTCCTATAGATCTATTCGGTATTCCGAACAGTACAAATCATCGAATGAATAGCAATCCATTAATACCACATCATCAATCATTATTTGGAAATTCTTTAATGATACCATCTCCATTTGGTAATATGAATAGTTTAATAGGTGATTTTGGATTGAATACATCGCCATTTGCAATGATGGATAGAATGATGCAGGGAGCGAATCATAATTCAAATGGACCGGTACATTCATTTTCATCAACAACTGTCATGTCTTATAATGGCACAGATGGAAGACCAAAAGTTTATCAACAAACAACATCACGTAATCAAGGACCTGGAGGTATTGAAGAAACACGACATGCTGTTCGAGATACGGAACGTGGAATTAATAAAGTAAATAGATTTAGAAAAAGATAATTAATCTTGAATAGTTTGTCTGTTTCGAATTAACCTAAAGATTTAAATAAAGAATAGAACAGTTTGTAACAATGGTTAAATTCTTTTGAATGAAAGTTTTTCGAATAATGAAATGCTCTCAATCATTCTACAAGTGAGAAAATTGTTTTACTCGGTAGTATCTATATGAAAAAAAAGTATTGAAATCGACAAAGAGAACATCTGAAGAGATTCCCTCGTTAGTTATTATTGAATCTGAAGATCGATAAATTTGTGCATTTAATTGTTATTTTCTTATTTATCATTAATTGAAATTATTTATAGGTGCACATTGGTCATCGAATTGGTGATCGTAAACATGTAATAGAACGAGAAATGAATACAGAAACGGGTCAGATATCTGAAAATGTTGAACTTGAAAATCTTGATGAAGATGAAACTGATGGGTTTAAAAAAGAATGGCGTCAACGTTCCTTACATGCTGGTGTTGCTCGTCATTCACATCATCCTTATTATCATCAAATTGGTTCAAATCGTCATTATAATTCTTCATCAAGACCACAATTAGCAATTGAACATAATCCTTCTACTGGATTATCTAGTCGACAACGTAAAAAATCATCAAAAAATATCAATAATTCATCTCATCGACCTCAATATCATCACTCAGATACAATTGATTTAACTGAAGATACACCAGTTGAAGATGATATAGAAGAAATTCAACAATTACCATTACCACAATCATTATCTGTCAAACGTAAACCTTCATCAAATGATGTGAATACTCAACGTAAACATCGGCAAAATCGTTATTGAAATAAATAGATTGTTTTTGTCAGTTTATTCCCATGTGTCAAGTTTGTCTCTTCCGTTTCCATCAAACAAAATACATTCATTTACATCCTATTTTTCTTTGTTTTGTTGTCAAAATTATTCTCATCAATTTCCTTTTATATCGGTAGATCTTTTGTTATTCTTCATTCTAGCAATGTTATGAGACAAAATGATGATCATGTTTACAGGCAGCAATGGAAAAAAAAGTGAATGATTAAAAAGAATATACATACTATTTATTTATTTTCCTTAGCTTGTGTCTATATTTGTTGATTCATACATGTCAATGTGAAAATGATCGAGTTTTGTTTTTCTTGCGTGTTTTTTTTCTACTCGTGAATATTTCTTGTTTTTGTCATACATTCAGAACTAATAAACATTTTGACTTCTTGTATCATATTTTTTTTCTGTTGTTTAATCTCTCTTTATGTATTCAATTTTAGTATTATGGCCTCGACCAATATTATCAACCTCTTTGATTTGTTCAGTATTACTATTTAATTTCTCAAATAACTGTATAAGGTAAGGTTGACTATTACATCATATACTCTATGAAAGTTTCGTTTTTTTATGTATTAACATATTGTACGTGAAACTATTTGTTGAAGCCAAAAAAAAAGAGTTACAGAACAAGATACTCCTTTTCTTTGTTTCTATTTGGCATCCCATACATTCCTAGACACTATTTGTTCCTAACACAATATTAATAGTCTTTATTCTATACTTGTCTGTGTCTTTTTCTCGTTCTTATTCGTTCCCAGGCCTCTGTAATATTTTATGAAAGAGCAAAAAAGCGGAAGTAATTGAACTTATTTGAATATATATGTCGATCATACTTCAGGAGCTCATTTCACAAATCGATGGACTCGATTATTGCTTCAGCACGAAACGACTGTAATAATTATTTCAAAATTAAATCTGGTTTCCATAACAACCATATGCGAATGATGACTCATTCCAAATCATGACTGTTTGTTTACTATGAAAAAAATCATAAGTAAATTATAAAATAAAACAAGAGAACATGGAGTCTATTCATTCAAACAATAGAAGAGTAAATGTTTAGCATAGTGTTGTTATCACCTGAGTTCGATATAGAAAGAATAGATTCATTTTGTAAATATAAAATTCTATTTTATTAAAATAACTTTTTCTTTTTTAATTTTAGTGTAAATATGAGTATTGGTGGAAAAATTCGTGATATGTTTTCGAAAAAAAATCCATCACCACAAATAGCAGAAATTTCAACACCATTAAGTGTTACTAAAAATGTTCATGTTTCTTATGATTCGCAAACAAAAACATTCCATGGTTTACCATTAGAATGGGAAGATCAAGTGAAAAGTTTATTTCCGTAAGAAATTTTATTGTTTTAGCTTTTTTTTTTTATTTAATGAATAAAAAACTAGAAAATATCAAATTTTAGATATTCAAAACCTGAAGAGAAAGCTCATGTTATGACATGTGCACTCAAAGTTATTCAACAAACACTTCGAGAAAATCGTCAGTATTTTATTAGTATTCAACCAATATTTTTTAATATATTTTTTCAAAAATAGATTGTCACACAAAACATTTGCATATTCAAGATTCATGTCATTCAGATGGATTATCATATGAATCAGGAGATGAATTAAGTGAAGCAGAAAGTGATCTTGGATACTCACAAGAAAAGATGAATTGTAGTAGTTCATCTTCATTCTCACCAAAGAAAGATCAATTTGGTAAATATTAATATAAAATATGTAGAAAAATTCTAATCTTATCTCATATTCTCTTAAAAAGTTAATTATCCAGGTTTAAAGAAAAATAATCCTGGTGTACCGCCGTCATATATCAATGTTAATGTAAGAAGAATTTCTTTATCATAATTTTTTGTTTTTTCTTTACTTAATTATTTTTTGTTAGTCAAGTGCTAATTTTGTTCAAGAACTCAAACGTGCTACAATTCTTCGTAAAAAGAGTTTAAATGTATGTATTAATGCCAAATAGTAATATGTAATTTGGTGAAACACGATCTAACAGGAGTATTGAAGCATATAGGGTAGAAATTTGGACCCACTCTCCTCTCTCCCCTCCCCTAGACATCTTCACTATCTATCATAGATCGCGACGGATACCTTGGTAACCCACTACAGACAGTGATAGACACCCTGATGACTAGAGCCCATCGAAACCAAGAATTTTTGTATCCGAACACGACTGATTATAATTTGTTGGACTCGGACTAGATCGATCAAAATTGTTGGATTCACATCTATTTGATTGATCTTGTATGGGCAGAACCCATCGTCTCCAAGAATTTCTGGACCCAAATCCGGTTGAATTCTGGTAGGACTCAATAGGTTCTACTGACGATTCATGATAGATTCTAGCCAAAGACTATGACAGACGTTATTGATATACAATCACAGATCGTGTATCAATAATTGGCTCGTCACAACGTATTAACTACTTCTTTATTCCATTTCTGGGGGATTAAGGACAAGAAGGGTGAAGAAATGTGTCCCAAGATGTATAAAATGAAACAATGTTTCTTTGATCAGCAAAAGTAGCTGCATTGTATTTTACATTTTAATCCTGCAAGGATTGTGCTGACAGCTTTCTTTTTTGAATCAGATGAATGCTGGCAAATCTGATGATGATGATGATGATGATGATGATGATAATAATAATAATAATGATGACTACCAGTTACCTAAGTCCATACCATCATCAAATTCAAGTCCTGATACTTTCACTTATCCTCAAACTGGACAAGGAAATACAAACAATTATATGTGTCAAGACAATCGTGATATGCTTATGAATCAGGATATAAAAAGTAATGAATATTTATCCACACCAGTGTCTTCAAATTCAACAAAACAAACACCAACTGTCCCTATGCCTTTTGCATCTTCTCTTCCAGTGCGTCATCATTCTAATAGTGATATTTCATCAAAAAATAATACCAATGGAAAAGATCATAAACAAAATAATCAACCACCTCAATTACCACCTAAAACAGTACGACTCATAGGTACAACGGGCAAATTATCATCGCCTAATAATGTTCCTAAAAGTCCAATTATTAATACAGATAATCATTCTCCTGCAACACCTACATCACAACCTGTACGTCCATCAAATGAATTACAACCAGTTCATCGAATGAAATCAAAAAATAGTAGACGAAAAATAACAGAAGCAGAAGCAGTTAAAGAACTTGGTTAGTTAAATAATATTATATTGGAACATTTATTCAATGATCTAACTATTCTTTTAGAACCGATAGCTGCAAAAGATGATCCAATAGCAAGATTTATTATACAGAAAAAAATTGGTTCAGGGTACGAACATATATATATATATTTTTTTTTTCTATGATTTATAATTGTTAAATATTTGTTTTACCTTATTAACAGAGCAGCAGGTGATGTTGATTTAGCTATTGATACAAAAACAAATACAAAAATAGCTATTAAACGAATGCTTTGGTCAAAACAACCAAGAAAAGAATTAATTGTTGGTGAAATTCTTGTCATGAAAAATTGTCGATTTCGTTCAATAGTTAATTTTCTTGATTGTTATTTAAGACCAAATGAATTATGGAGTAAGGAATTTTATAAATATAAATTTAAGAATAATAAATCTTTTATTTAGTTGTTATGGAATATATGAACGGTGGACAATTAACACAAATTGTTGAACAAACAGTTCTTGATGAAGGTCAAATGGCAGCTGTTACAAAAGAATGTCTTGAAGCATTACAATTTCTTCATAGTAAAAATATTATTCATCGTGATGTTAAATCAGACAATGTACTTGTTGGTTTCGATGGTTCAGGTAGAGAAAAAATAGCATTCAATGTAATATTATACATGACAAAGATTTATTCGTAATTTTATTTAGTAAAATTAACGGATTTTGGTTTTTGTGCTCAATTAGCTAGTACTGAAAGTTTACGAACAACAATGGTCGGTACTCCTTATTGGATGTCACCAGAAGTAATTAAAAAGTAATGTTTATATATTAGATGAAATTTGAAACTTTTATTAAAATATTTATTTTTTAGACTTAAATATGATCGAAAAGTTGATATTTGGGTACATCAAAAGAAAAATTTTCGAATTAAAGAACTAATTGATTGCTTTTTTTTTGTCTATTTAGTCATTAGGTATTCTAGTGATTGAAATGATTGACGGTTCACCACCGTATATAAATGAACAACCGTTTCGTGCTATGTGTAAAATAGCTATGCAACAAGAACCTCCATCAATAAGTGCTGAATCGCAAGAACGTATATCAAATGATGCAATGAATTTTCTAAAACGTTGTCTACAAATTGATCCTCGACAACGAGCAGATACGAGTGAACTTCTTGAACATCCATTTATTAAACGTGCAAAACTACTCTCATCGCTTGTTCCAAATATAAAAGCTGTTTGTAACAATGATGTAGATTAAAAACAAAACGGTTTTCTTTTTTTTGCCATATTTTTCTAATGTGTATTTCATTTCTTTCTTTTTTTTAATCCTATTTGTTCGTAATTGTTATAACTAAACATATCGACGTGTGCTTTGTCTAGTTTGTTGTGTTGTTTATATTCAAAACATACAAACTGATTGAAGGAAGAAAAAACTCTCCCAAAAAAGATTTTCTTTTGTTTTTTTAGTTTTTCTTTTATTGATCATTCTTATTCTGTGATTTTTTTTTCTATATAAATTTGTTTTTTCCTGTTTCCTTCTACTCGCATACGAATAATTTTTTCTCTTACGGAAGATCAAAATGATTAAAGGGTTCTGGTTTATCGGACTTTTTCTCTTTTTTTATATTCGATCGTAATGTTAAATTATGTTGGTATACTTTTTTTTTTATAATTTCGTAAATAAAATGAAATTTAGAATGCCTGAAAATGGTTTTGTTTTTAATATTCATTTTTTTTTTGTAGATGTTGAATTTCAATTGGAATTTAATTGATGAATCTACGTAAGTTCTTAAAATATGCAATTATTTTATGAGTATATTGTTTTTTTTGATAAATATTAGATTTCAAGGGCATTTAAACAAATATACAAATGCATTTAAAGGATTTCAAAGTAGATATTTCGTACTGGATACACAAGCAAAAAGTTTACTGTATTTTATGGTATATATAACAGAATTCTTTTGTTTTGAAAATCTTATCATACATTTTGGTTGTAGCCCGATGAAGTTCGAAAGAAAGGTCCAAGAGGTATAATTGAATTAACAGATTGTTGGATAGCACCATCGAATGAAGATGATGTTACTTTTACTTTACAAACTGGAAGTGGAGATGCATTTAAATTACGAGGTAAATTCAAATTTGTTCATACAGAATATTCCAAAAGTTTGAACAGCTCATCAACAATTCAAGTGATTTACATAATTACTGAAGCAAAAAAGTCAATGAAGTTTATGACATTTGTAAAAATGAGCTTGTGCAATAGATTGAATACTTCATCCTGGCTCATTCTCATCAGTATTCTTGATTTCATTGACTTTTTTCTTCAATCATTGCTGTAGTGCATCCAGAATGTGATCAATTTTCGACAGTATCAGTTTCACAAAATTGTTAAAATGTGGTTCTAATACAGAATTCAATTGATGTATGTTTGTCAAATTCAACTTACAGTTTTCATTTTACAATGGTAAATGACGTTGACTGTCAGTAGAACTATTTCAGTTCTGACTTCTGTAGGCACAGACATTTTATCTGAAAATTTTAATGAATATGTGATCAAACTGTAAAAAAATACTTAAATTACTCAAATTGCTGAGAAGCTATTCACGGTATTTTATTGTTCAAACTTTTGATACAGAATACTCCACGAGTACAACTTGTCATACTAGTATCCAACCTGAACAGAAATTATTTACCCGTACCCTACCTGTATTTGTTTGCATTCACTTGCCTTTCGAAAAACAGTTCGCGTTCGGATTCGGTTCAATTCGTTTCTGGTCTCTGAATAGAACGAGCAACCAACTATGTGATCAAGCATATTGCTATTAAATAACAGCATTAACATCACATATTTCCAAATTTTTTTATGAATTGTATTGTTAAAAATGAAGTTTGTGTCTCCATAAATCGTTATTTTTCACACTCATACCCATTAATTTCGTACCCGATCTGCGGGTTGCAGTAGTCTATTTTGGAACATCTTGCATATCATATTTGTAAATAAATGAATCTTTTTATTTTAGCATTTGATGCTAAAGAAAGACAAAAGTGGATAGATAAACTACGAGCATGTTCAGGATCGAATGCAGCTAATGCTGTAAGCATGAAAAAGAGTCTTATTTTATTTGTCATATAAATCAGTGATTTTTTTTTTGTCATTGTTAAGTATGTTTCATCTTTACCAATATCAAAAACCAATCAAACAAATACATCAACATCAACCAACTTATCAAATGACATAAATATTCGTCCATCGATTAAACGGGATTCAAAGTATAAGATTTAGAATTATATATTATTGATTAAATAAATAATAAACCGATTGGTTTTCTTTTAATTTCATAGATTATATCAACAGCAACATACACTGAAAGAACTTAAAGAAGTCATGCGTTGTGTTGAAGTCAATCAACGAGAATTTGTTGAAACAATTTATGTTTGTTTATGCTTATATTATTTCTTAATTTTTATGATTTTTTAATATTTCTTTTGTTTTTAGACATTGCCTGATGATATTTCTTTGAATTCAATGTCTAAAGTACAATTAACATAAATTGATTTAGTTTTCTGTTACTTTTATTTTTTGTATACTAGAATATGTTATTTCTTCGTTCGATATCGCAATCATGTATTAATTCATTACAAGATAGTTTAACAATACTTACTAAAAGAAGGTTTGAATTTTAACAGAAAAAACAAAACAAAAAAATTATGTTTGGATTTTTAATTAGAATGCCTGATAGTGAAATACTTGTTACATCTGTACCATCAACTCCATTATTGCAATCATCAATAGCAATAACAAATACTTCTAATAAGCAATTGACTCAATCTTTTAACAATAGTACTAGTTCAAAATCGAGCTCACCTGGTATATCAACACAATCAAATCCATTTGCTTTACAAAACAAAACTTTAAGGTATTTAATTTAGAATTTTAGCTTCGAAAATTTTTCCCATTCAAAATATTTTATATACAGTGCCTCACAAAATTATTCGACTACGTTTATTTTCATTTTTTTTTCCACTGTCATAAAAGCTAACAATAATTCAAATAGTAATTTGAGCAGATCATTTTATTTCTAACAAGAATTATTATTTTCAGCTCTTAGAATTCGAAAAAAAAATCGGTTTAAATTATCGAAAATGATAGATCAAATAATTCTCTACACAATGAGAAAAATTTTCAACTCTCTACGATGTCTTTTGTTTGAAATACAATAACTTTACAGAATGCACAGAAGTCGGTTCTCTTCTGTTATTTTGTATGCAAACACTATCTTTGTGCCAGTCGTAAAATTAATGTATCTCGAATAAAAAACGTCATAGAGAACTTGAAAATATTTTATTGTGTAGAGAACAGTTTGTTCTATCATTCTGAGTAATTCACACAGAATTCTTTTTTCAAATTCTAAGAGCTAAAAGAACATGGTTTTTGGCTTTGCAGAGACTCAAATCTGGGTAAACTAGTAATCTTATTATTTTCAAAAAAAATCTGCAGTCTGAACATTTTGCAAATACAAAATGTGTTGTGAATGTTTTTTTTTTTCATTTAAAAGTTCTATAAGAGAATATGGCAAAGCTTAATAGAACAAGAAGTTATGTATCGCACAATCTTTGCTTCTACTTCACTGACTCCTCTTTATTGACATCGGGCAACAATGCATAGCAAGTGTACTGTCTATTCAATGGTAATATAAAAGTAGCAGATTATATACATAAGAACAAAAAGACAAAAGAAGAAAATATTCTATTGCATAGTCGTGTTGGTTCAACTGCGAAATATCAAGGACATAATCCTTTATTTCCAAATATGACATGAAAGGAACAAAAAGGGATTAAGAAATTGATTTTCTCAAGAGAAAGAGAAAAGTGATTAGTACTAGAGTCTGACTTGGATCGAATCAGGTCACAAAAATTTGAACCATGTCGGACACGACAACGGGAACACATTAAAAACAATGTGTTCGAATTATTTTGGAAGTCACTGTATGTAAGCGAGGACAACATTTTTAATAGCACGGAAATAAGTTTGAATTACATGTTTGTCTTTAGAAAACGTAAAAACAAGAAAACTCTATTTTGAACTTTTTTTTTATTATAGTCCTGATGGTTCTAATCAAATAAATGAAAACATTATTATCAATAAAGAATTAAAGAAGTGAATTTAATCTTATGAATTTATTTGAAATATATAATTATTGTAAATAATAGATGATAGTGGCACTGTCAATCGACACCATGATGTCTTGATTTGTATTGTGATTACAACTAGTCAATCAGCGTGATTTATATTATTTATTATATGTATATAATTGATTGTTTCAACCAATAAAGTTTCATTTGAGCTGTTTTAAAGATATTATTTTTCATGCAATGGAGTTATATAAATTTATTTATTAATGTTTGATTCTTTTCTTTTCGCAATAAATTCATGCTAATATAATTTCAAATTTGATACAGTCTGATTATTTTTTTTTCTGTAATTTTAGATGCCAGAAACAATGACTCAAAAAGAAAATCTTTTGAGTCTTATTTCAATTGAAGTACTCATAAGCCATGTTCATATTGATCTGAATATAGAATGTCATTTGCCTTGTTTAGTTTTTCGTTTACTTGATTATCCAGCTATATCAATACCTTATTTTGATCAATGGCAAATAGAAGAATTTCATAATTTAAAACAAGATTATCCAAATATATCCTGGCGTCAATTATTGTCTGATCAATTTTATGAACTTCGTTCAACTAATGGAAAATTTAATTTTAAACGTGGTAAATCATGTTTATTTAAAACTTATTTTAGAACATTATATAAACATTTATTAAATGTACCACTTTTTATTTTACTTATTGATCAAATAAATGATAATCATACAGATAAATCATATTTTATTGGTAGTTGTAATGTTAAATTAAATGAATTAATTGAAATATTAAATCAATCAATTATTAAAAATGGAAATGATATACCTCTTGTTGAACAACAAACATTTCATTGTATACTTTTTAATTTAATGGATACTAAAATTGGTACTTGTGATATTGCTGTTCGATTTTGTTATTATGGTACAACTATTTTAACACATTTACCCATGCTTAATGATGAACAAGTAACAAAAATAGATAAAAAGTAAGATCATTATGAATTTGCTGTAGATAGTATTGCGAGAAATTATAGAATAACTCTTTGCCTATCACTTCTTTCGAATTTTATTCTTAACCAATATCACTTTTTCATGTCAAATTCACTGCTAACGTATAGGTTCATAGGTATTTTTCCAGTATTCATTGCAGTAAATACCGGAAGCGCACATACGAATCTATGCATTAGCGATGATTTTGAAACGAAAAAGTAATATCGGTTAAAAATAAAATTCGAAAGAAGTCAAAGACGGAGAATGATTCTATTGTTTTTCACGAAAACTTTATTCCTATTTGCTGACTAGAGTTTCAATTACTGCTAAAGAACAAGCTACTAAACCAACAACTATTTTACCACCTACAGATACAATTGTTAAACATATTCATTTTGTTAATGAAAAAAAAGATGTTGGTTTACAATTATCTCGTAGTGATCTTCCATCATCATCAAGTAATAATAAATCAGCTCAAACACGTTGGACAAGTACAAAAACTCGACCAAGTGATCATCATCAATCAAAATATCAATATTTACGTACAATAGAAGATCCATCATCTGATGATCCAACTATTACTTTCTATCGACCACCACCACTTTATTATAATTCTGATTCTGATTTTCTTCAAATGATAACACCAGCATCAACAAAACAAATAATTGAACAAGCAAAAGAAAATCGTTTATCTTATCTTGCATCCATTCCTATTGTTAGTTTCAATGATGATAATGATGAAAATGAAAAGGATCAATTAAGAATAAAATCTACAAAAAATGTACTTGTTAATTTATCTCCATCATTGCCATCAAAAATTATTAGTCGAACAACAATAATTCCAAAACAACCAACATTAGCAAAAGATTTTTTACATAATTTTCCACTTCTTCGATCACTTGTTGAAGAAGCTTTAGCTTTACAACAACATCAAGATGATATATCAACATCAGTTAGACATGCTATGTTCGATGATCGACCACATTCAGTCATGCAACAAAAACAAAATAATCTAAAACAAATTTCAGTACGACCTAAATCAGCAATTAATGTTCGTACAATTCGAACTAAATCTGTTATTGTAACAAGAAATCTAAATAATACACGTCGACTTTATTCACCTTCATCAAAAACAAATAGAATGATCGCAACAAAAAATGAAGTACGTGATTTAGTTAATCGTCTTTCGAAGCCAAAATTTAACAAACGTATTGAACGAGAAATTGCATCAATTGATCAAGATCTACCAATTCAAGAGCCCGTTGTAAAAACTTCACATGTCTCTTCGAAACCTACCATTTCTACTAGGGTATTTCATCTACTCTTTTTATTCGTTTCCATATTAAACAGTCTTTATTTTTCTTTTCGATAGTCTACTAATACTACAAGAAAGCCACCACCTTCTTATGGTACAACCCGTGCTCATCGATTAATGATTGAATTTTCTCGAGCTCGTCGTGCTGGTTTCCAACCTCAAGCAACTGATTCACCTAAATCTCAAGCATCTTCAAGGAAAGAACCCATATCAAATAGTCATACTTTTTCATCCTCACCACAAATATTGAATACTGGCGTAGTTTCACGTTTATCTCTTCTCAATAAAGTTGATGTTGATACTCCTACTATACAAAAAAATAATATTCAACGACCATCTTTGGAAATAACACCAGAAAATATAGGTCCAATTCAGAAATCACCATTAACAACAAGTCAAGATGTTAGTTTAAAATTGAATCAAACAATAACAAAGATAACATTTTCTACTCCTGAACCAACTACCATACCTCAATCTAATCAAGAAAATGATGAAAGAAACGATGATTTAGTTTTTTCGATTACTGATATAACTGATTAGTAAGCTTCTTTTAAATTTCGTTTATACATTTAATCTTTTAATTGTGTCGTAGTTTTACCGATGGTGAAGAATCAAGTACTCGTCCACAAAGTCGACAATCGATGTGATCACTTATTTGACTATAGAAAATAAAAATGAAAATCAATGTCAGATATTTTAATGTAATATAAGTAATCCGTCC